TTGTAATGCAGGCAAATTTGCCTGCATATTTAAAATTTTAATAAGTTTTTAAAAAAATTTAATAAAATTTTAAATATATATATATTTTTTGTATGTTTAATCAGCTGGGCCTTGCCTAGCATACTTTATTATTTTATTCACATATGTATTTTATGTATTACAGGAATTACTATCTATGAACAATTCTACACATTGCTAGACTATATCAATTTTACTTTATATCAGCTTGTTGCTGTCAGCGTCACTCCAAAGGGATTGTGCTGAGGCTAACATGCCAAAGTCCTGTTAATATTATTATTATATCGTTATGTTCTATTTGGCATTGTGGAATTTTTAAGAAGAAGTTTGAATATGAAGAACTGGGAGTAGTACTTATTTTTGGCAAATAGAACCACTGCAAAAAGAATTCTTCTAAACCCGACCACCTGCAGATAGGTGTACTATTTAATTTCCACTTTTCTAAAGCTACCCAAGAACGTTCAAGGAACTTATCTCACAGACTTACAGTCCATAGATTGTTTTAGCTATCGGCACTTATTGCTGTTTTGGCTGCCTTCTTGGGATAGGTAACTGTCGATACGATCTATTACTGGATTGAAATAAGGTCTTTTTGAAAACTTGTAAGAAGAGACATCAGATATCATAGGGAAATGATTACCAAGCCATCTTTACTGAAAGCGAACACCTTATACACTTTACAACTTCTGGTGATCATTGTAGCACCAACCAGATAATCATCACGCCACAACACCTTTTCTGAAAATCACAATTTCAATACCTGCTGGATCAGTGTATAAAACGGCTTCTTATGAAAAACAGCGCTTATACAGGTTATGATACCAGATATCATATTAATTCTATTCAACTGCTCTTACATAGGATTGAACTAGTATCTTGTGATTTGACCTGTGGAGTATTAACCACTACACTATAAACCTACAGGTCACTATAAATAAATATATTATAAGTAATAGGTTTTTTTAATATATAAAAACTATTTTTGATTTAATATAATAATTTTTAAATAGTTTGTTATTTTTTGAAAAATTATATATTTTATCAAATAAAAATTTATAAAACTTAATATTTAAATGTTTTAATATATGTTGAACAAAATTTATTAATATCAAATTACTTATTAAAACAGTAATTATAAAAATCAAGTGAATGTCAAAATTTTAACAAAAAAATCATTAAATATAATAATAAATATTTGTTCAAATTTAATAAAAATTTTACCATAGATAAATTCCATTATAAAAAACAAGTTTACTTAGTACATAAAATTCATTTTTGTTAATAAAATAAAAAATTCAATATGATAACTATTTTTGATTAATTATAATAATTTTTTATTTATTAGAGGGGAACTGTACTTATCCTAGTGAATTTATAAAATCCAATTTGTAAAGTACAATATAACCGTCGTGAGACTTGTTTCACTTAAGAAATAATAAATACAGTCATTCAAAACTTAAAACATAATACTGTATAATATACGATTGCTTATCACTAACATTATAATTATTTATTAGGTTTATATGTAGGGGCGTTAAGTAGTTCGGCGAAACTAGTTTAAACCGAATTGAACTTAAATTATTCCGGTTCGACTCAAACTACGTAGTTTTGACCAGTTCGTATTGTCCAAAATTGTCAAATTTATTATCCGACGCAACATCAACAATTTATGATAGGTGCATTCTTTTGAAAGTTGAAGTCTGAGAAGATTAATTTTCTTATTATCATGTGGTTGGAACTGGTCAAACTGTGTAGTTTGAAAGCTAAACCATTTAACATCACGTTATATAACGTTGTCTGTAAAAAATTTACTTTAATGTATTTTATTTAAAAAATAATCTAATATAAATTTCTAATTTAAGTATAAGGAATTGTTAATATAAACGTATCTAAAAAATTCTCTTTTTAAAAGTTTGATGCAAAGTGTTGTTGATTGTGTTTTGGAATATACTGTAATTCTTAATAAAATATATTGGATATATTGGATAAGAACATTGTAATTTTTGTGCTTTTTGGTGACAATGAACCAGATTCATCTTGGTGAAAGTAAAATTTAGAACCATCTTTAATATGCCAGTGTATTGTTACAATCTTATTCACATTTGAGTATTTCGTTCGAATGGTTTCGTATGGAGTAACCTCAAAAATTTTTGATAGAATTTTGGGAGCAGGACTTGTGATAGCAAATTCGTCCAAATTTGAACAATTTTTTAACCACTCCCAGGTCACATTATAGAAGTTCCATCCTACGAGCTCAAGACGTTTAAAAGATTTGGGTTTGGATCGGAGTACATTGATTAGCTTTTCACCGTCTCCTCTTTTAAACACCAGACGAAGGTTTAAAAGATGTTTTTGGGCAGAAATATATTGATTAAGATAATCGAATAATCCTTCAAAACGGTCAAGGCGATTATCGTAAAGGTTGATATCAAGGTGGGACTAGAAGAAATAATTGAAAATGTTTAAAATTTTTTTAACATTGCTGAAGCGATAAATTCAAGAGAACATACCAGCTGAGTGCAATTTTCTGCTAAATTCTGTAGGACAACGTTTTTTAAAAAAGGCGTCGAAATTTCGATGTGAACTAAGGAATCGAATATTGGCTTGTAGCATGATTTTGTCCATTCTACATAAATTCGATCGTTACCTGGAGAGGAAAAATTAATAATAAAGGTATCTAGACGAGCCTCATATTTTATTAGTATTGGAAGCATTTCATCAACCTCGGAAATTAATAGGTCTTTACAATTGAGTTCTTTAATGAACGATGGATAGTCATATAGTGGTTTTTTTCGGTCTACGTCGCTTTCTTCAAGAAACAACTTATAAATTCTTAGTGCAGCCCTGCTCCTTTCACTCGTGTAATTAAATGGTGCTTTCCAATACAAAGGGATAGCGACTTGACACCAATGTCGGTTAACTTGAAGCGCTGAAAGTAAATCATGAATACTAAAAGATTCAAAGATAATCAATAGAACATCCGGAATTAAGTTGTTCATCATTAAACGTTGTGAATTTGAAATTTAAAATTCGCAAAGTTTTATATTCCCATTTTATGACTTTTTTCCGGAAAATTAGTCGCGCGCAATCGTAATGATAAACATTGTTTCTCTAAGCAGGAAAGATTTCGGAATGCGTTGTCCTTCTTAAACAATCAATTTAATATAAGCGGCTTGTTTTGTAACACTTACAGTAAATGAAGCCAAATCTGTAAGCAATAACAAGTAATCTATTCCTTTTTAGAAAACAAGACAGTAGTTGAAACTATAAAAAACAATTTGCTTTTTTGACAAATTTATTGTTTCAAAAGGTTTCATCATAATCACAAAACATGTATTTTTTTTTAAAAAAAGACAAATTAACAATAATATTGTATCAAAATATTGATAGAATAAATATTAACAAGATTGAAGAAAATTAGAACTGACAACTTGATTTCAAATTTTCAAAATATTATTTAACAAACTTAATATTAAAAACATTTTCAAAATATTTCTTTTTTTAAAAAAATATGTATTATAATTAAGCTTTATTTCAAGTATATTAAACTTTTAATAAAAAATTTTTTAAATACATGGTTTAATAAATTTTTATAAGATTTTAAATAATACATTAAGAATAATCCTTTATATAGGATATAAACTAATAATATAATAAATAATTTAAATAATTTAAATAATATTTGAAAAAAGTTTAATTATTATTATATATTTTTATTTTAATAATTAAAAAAATTAAAAATAAAAAGATCTGTGAATTAATAGTACAATAAGTAGTGCTTTTAGATCTTTAAATACATATTTCTAATTTAATATCTATAGAAGACAAAAATTCATAAAATATTATTTATATGGGTAATTATTTTCAAAGGCAAACCAGAAATTTTCTAGGATGATTCGAAAATTTATACTACAGTATATACTGTATGTATGTATTTTTTAAAGGTTGGGTTTGAAAAAATCATATCTAGTATTTTTATCGCCTTCAAAAATAATTATCCATATACGTATATATTTACTGAATATTCTGCTTATATTATACTTATGAATTTTAACAATTCAATTCAATTCAATTTTAATTCTCAAGTTTATATTAAATTTAATATATGGATTATAATTTATCATCATTTTTAATAATGTTTTAAATCTCATATAAGTTTATATAAGTTTATATAATTTTAATTTTCAGAACCATGGTTATATTTAATTATTTTTAAAAATTCTTTATATATAGATTTACTGCTTATCTTATATTATTGTATTCAATTATCCAGATCTTGATCAAATTTAGTTAGGCTATATAAAAATATAATCTTTGGTTTAGTAATTTTAATTAATAAAAATTTTCTAATTGATTGATTATTTTTAATATAATTAATTAATTGTAACAAAAATTCCTGAATTTTAATTGATTAATTTTAAATTTTTTAACTAATAATTTATAATATTATTTTGATTTTTCTAATAATCACAAATTAAAAACAAATTGAAACAAAAAAGATTATATAAGGAAAAACTTTTAATTTAATTTTAATAGAAGCTTATAATTATAACTAATATGAAAAACAATCTGTAATACAAAAAATACTTTAATTTAAAGTTATCTTAATCCAATGCTTACTTTAAAAAAAAAAAATTTTACAAGGAAAATTTAAAACAAAGGTTTCAAAAAATACTAAACTAATATCAAACTAGTATTAAAATAATATTAATCTATAATAAATTTAATATATAAATTAAAATCTATTTATATGAATTTATAGTAAATTTAAATACTAAACTAATATCAAAGTAATATTAAAATAGTATTATTAAGAGTTCTATTTGAAATTGCAAATAGTAACAACAAATATTAAGGTTTTGAATTAAGTATTAAAATAGTATTGACTTGATATTGACTTATAATAAATTTAATCTATAAGTTATAATACATTATATTAAATTAATAATAAATCCAGTATTGACTTAATATCAAAATAGTATTATTGGAAATTCTAACAAATATAATACTTTCTTCAAGTTTTTTTTAAAAAAATATTAAATAGATTATTTGAGTATTCTAATTAATCCTAAAAAATATATGCCCTAAATAACAATTATCAAAATTCAGATTAAATTAAATAATTTATAAGTTAGTAGTAGTATTTCTTTTTTTTAAAGGTTTCATTTTGTATATAGATTTATTTTTAGGATAGATCAATTTATATGTTAAATAAGATTATAAATAAAAAAGTAAATTAACTTAAATAAAAAAAAATTTTTTTAAAGTAAATAAATATTGTTACTTTATTATAATTATAAAATTAAAAAAATTTTATATAAAGAAAGTAATAACATCTTTCATATAACCAATTGATTAGTAAGTTTAATATAAATTGTCTATAATAAACTATATAAGTTGTAAAGAAAAAAAAATATTAAAACCAATATATTGTTAAAGATAGTATCAAGTAACTATAAATATTTACTCAGATTTATATATAAAAAAACTATAAAAATTAAAAAGAAAAAAAAAGATATTAAGCAAAGAGATAAATGCAAAAAAACTAATTATAGAACTAAAGATGTTTTGGAGGATATTACTAGATGTGCCATACTGGTAATTTCATTTAACTGAAGCATGATACATATGTATTTATCAAAAATAGTCAAGTTATTGTTTAATATATACAATAGTATTAATAATATATTTTTTTGATAGTCAATTGGTTATAATGATTGTATTATTGTTATATTAATATGATTAGTAATTGGTTTGTTTATTGATAATATAATTGGTTTGTTTGTTAGTAATGTAATTTTATTTTGATAGTTATTTCCAAAAAAGATTTTATTTATGTTAATCAATATATAATATTTTGATAGTACAAATTTGTTTGAATAATTAATAATATTTGATTAATTAGTTTAAGATATTAATTAATTAATAGAAATAAATTGATTGTGGTTTTTTTATAAAAATTTTTTTGAAAAAAAGTTTTGTGTTTTTTGTAATATAGCAAAATATGCTAGGTAATAATAAAAAAATAAACAATAAATATATTGCTAGTTTTCCAAGTTAACAATATAAATAATTTTAGTATATGGGTTGGTTTTTTAATATATAAAAAAAATCTTTAAAGAAAGAATATAATTATTTAATAAAAAATGTATATCAATAAAAAAAAAAAATAGAAAAAATTCCAAAAAATATTTAAAAAAAAATAACTGTTACAAGTTTTTTCTTATGCAATTCAAAGAAAAAACAAAATTCTTAAACTTGTTTTTTTTAGTCAGAAGTTCTATTCTAATGTATTAATATACTTTTTTAATTTTCTTGAAATTTTTGTAATAAAAATAAAAAATATATAAAGGACTTTGGGATATTAAAAGGCAAAAAAAATATTTGTTTCTTTAATTTTAAAAGATAATTACTATAAAAGAAAATTGTTAAAAAAAATGTTATATATAGAAAAAGTTTTTTTTTAACTTAAATAAATCTTTTTTTTTTTCAACTAGCAAGGCCTTACCTAATATATTTTATTTAATTTATATATGTACTTCTTGTTACAAGACTTACTATCTATAAACTATTCTAGATACATGTTTTGCTATATTGATTTGACTCCATATCAGCTTGTTGCTATTGACTTACCTTACAGCATGTATCAAGATTAATATGCCAAAGCTCTGTTAGTGTTGTTATTATATGAAAAATTATAGAAATTGAAATTAATTATGTTTTTTTCCTGGTCTAACCAGTTCTCTATAAGTTTTTCTTATAATTTTCTTGTTTCTTTTGTTTTTTTGAATGGAGATCTATATTGTCTTGTATCTGTAGCTTGAGTATTGTCTTGAAGTTATTTATTTCTTTTCTCTTTTTTCTCTTTTGCTTATGTTTTCTTCTTTTTTCCATTGCTAAAAACTTTTGCATCTGTGAATCCAGAGTTTTTGGAGTTTCTCTATCATCCTGTTTATGACTGTTCTTAGTGTGTCTTTAATTCTTTTTCCATTAATTTGTTCTACCAGCTTGATTAGGTCTTTTTCATAGATTCCTTTGATTATATACTTGATAGTTCTTTTTGAATCGTTGATAATGGATTCAAGTTGTTTTCTCCAAGTTGTTTTTTTTTTTTGTGTTTTTATTCTGTTTGCTATTTCTTCTTTTAGTATTTGCAAATATATAGTTCTGATCTCATTCTTGTGGTATTCACTGAATACATGTTCTATGGTTTCCCATCTGTTGCACCAAGGGTATATTTTGTCCTTGTATATATCTGACCTTCTCTTATTTAGCTTATCTTTAGTGGAAAGCTCTTCATTAAGCAGTTTATATCTGAACTCTCTGTTGTTGTAATCTTATTGATTGATATGAAAGCTTGTAATCTTTAATGATAACAGGCTTGCCCATGTTCTTCTCCAGTCTATTATTTTTTTATCACCTGTGCTCAACCATGCTTTGTATCTTTTTTGTGTCACCTATATACTGATCCATTTGTTATTTTGCCATTGCTTCATAAATCCATTGGTTTTTATGTTCAGATCTTTACTATTTCATTGTAGTATTCCTATTATTTCTTTTATGTATTGACAGTTTATGCCTATAATATGTGTATGGTCTAGCTCATTGTCTTCTTTTGCTAGCTGGTCTACATAATCATTGTATTTTTTTCTTGTGTATATTTGATCTTTTTCAGTGTTGTTGTTACTATTCTGTTTTTAATTTTCTTGTATATGAGAGTTGTTATAAGTATGTTTGTTCCTTTTGCCACTCTTTGTTTCATTGTGGTTTCTGATTGTATCACTTGAATTGCATACTAGTTATCTGTATATATGGTTGCTTCTGTTTTCAAATTGAGAAGTGTTATTGCTATAAGTATTGCTATTAACTTTGCTTTTGTGGATGATAAAAATTCTTCGCATCTGTCTTTAAATTCTATTTCTTCAAGTGTTTCTTTGTTGATGATTATATCTCCTACCCTTATTTTTACCTGATTATTATTGTACTTTTCCATGGATCC